ATACTCCAGCCCTGTTCTATAGTGACTGCAAGAGGCTGATATCAGGTCGAATTTGGAACATTACACACAACGCTTGCATTTAAAAAAACACATTTATTGATGTATTAATGATAACAGAGCTGCATTAATTAGTGCAGGGCTCAAAATTTCCACTCGCCCCCTCGCAAATTGCGAGTGAAAATTGCGTGGGGGCGAGTGGAAATGAAGCCATTGAGTCAGGCACTCCTCGGGGCGGCTTCTCTCCTCCTCACCGACATGATGACAGCGCTCCCTCGTCCTTCCATCCCCCCCCGTGTGTCTGTGTGTGGGGGCGGGGTCTCAGGAGGGAGCGCTGCCTGCTGTCAGGATGGCCGAGCGGGAGAGAAGCCGCCCCGAGGGGGAGAGAAGCCGCGCTCGCAGCTGTCAGGATGGCTGAGCGGCGAGGAGATCGGAGCCGCAATTAGTGTATTTTATATTTGCCTAGAGTTCAGCTTTTTTTTTTCCAACACGTTTTTTTTATTGATAAAAAAAATGTTTTTGATACATATGTAAGCAGCATTCTCTAAAAGAATAACAGTGCAAATACAGAATCCGGTTTTCAGACATATTTGTAGTAGTCACAGGTCGTGGTAGGATGCATAAATGCAAGCGTCGTCTGAAGGGTATAAATATATCCACAAAGCTCATCAGGCTAGAAAAAGGGAATTCCAAAGTCTTAACATGCCCTGTCAATTGTTCCGAGTTGACGAGTAAGGTAGAATACCCCATGTTAGGAGTGACACCATCCATGGCAGAGACCACAGAGGAAAAAGGTTGTGTCCTTAAAGATTGAGTGACCAAAATTCTACATCGTAACTGCCCCATAGGCTCAGTCCAAAAACATATCAAAACAGACATAAAAATAAAATAATAGAGAGAATAAACAATAAAGCCTAACTTAGCAACCACAATAGCCTGGAATCTGGCCCAATCCTTGGGCGCTAATGAACATGATTGTCATCGTCCCTGTCACCTTGTGTAACCATATTTGCATCACTGACAAATTCAGAAGCGGCTGAGACAATGACAATCTATCTCTTCACCTCAACCCTTAGAGAAAGCACTGATACAAAACACTAAGGGAAATGGTCTCACACCACACCTCTTACAACAGTCACTGTAGTGCTGATTCAATCCTGTCTGGCTGGTGCAGGCAGAGTCAACAGATTATAGCATGTTGTATATTTAAACGGGTGTAGGAGATCACTCTGTTCCAATCCTGTGAAAAAGCATTTCAGAAATGGCATCCAATCTTTCTAAATACATTAAACCTCTGAGATCCTGAGAGAGCCTCCCAATAGAGGGCGGAGATTTCTAGAGTCACTTTCTCATAATGCAGCATCTTGCTACTGTTAAGCAGATATCTATTAATTGCCTTTTAGTCCTGGTATAGGAGTCAGATAGGAGCTGACCCGGTTCCCAATAGCTAAACAAAAAGGGCATGGGGTCCAAAGAGAGTCTAACCTGAAAAATAAGGTCTGTAACAGTTATCCAAAATTGTTAAATTTGAGAACAGGACCACAGGCAGTGGAACAGGGAGGCTTTAGGCTCTCCGCATTTAGGACACTCTGTGTTTAATGAGACTGCAGCACACAAAGTAGGTGTAAACTGAAATACATAATATGCTCTATGTACATTTTTAAATTGAGTTTCTCTCTATTGTTCGTTGATGACAACTGATCAGACATTGCGATAACCTGTCAGAATCTTATCAACTATGTCTTCTACCGGTATATCTCTCACCCAATAAGCGACATTGGAGATATGTAGAGGTGGGATCAGACCATCTCTCAGGAAGGGATAAATGGCCGAAATGGATGGAGTAGACTTTTTTAAGAAGGTGACTAATCGGGAGGATAGCGAGAATCGGAACAGCTGGGGGCGCAGATCTTTCACATGGGTGATGGCTTGTAGGAAACAGAGGAAATCACCCTCATGTAAACCTCAATCGATCACTGGACAGTAATTGGTAGAAATGTGTCAGGCCCCTCGACTCCCATTGTCGGAAGATAGAATAGTCTTCCCCTTGCGGGAAGGTGGGGTTCCCTCTGAATGGCAGAAAGACGGGAATCCGAATATCCGAATTTCCGAAATTTCTTCCAAATTTCGATTCGGAACGAAACGAATCGCACATGTCTACCGTGTTTCCCCGAAAGTAATCCCCTTCTGTCTGCCCGCCGGTCCTCGGCTTTTAGGAAATTAGAGCTGCCGCTGGAAAACTACGTTTCCCAGCAGGCACATCGGCATGGCCAGTGGGGTCAAAGCCGAGGTGAGAGAATTTCTGATTGGCTCCCTGGACGGCATTACAGAGCTCCAGACAGCTGCAGCCAGGTACCGTACTGTGACAGTCACAATACCATTCTTTCACTCCAATTCTTAGTACATTACATATCGGTATCTCTGCTCTGTGTGACAGCAGTGTGCCTCAGCATATTTTATCATCTTCAATTATTAGAGATGTTTTATCTCTACCGTATTATTTAAATTATGGTAGAAAAAAAAAGTATGTGAGGGGATACTCCATGGGGAAAGTATGCAGTCTATAATGTCCCCATTGAGCATCCCCTCACATACTTTTTTTAAAACTATAATTTAAATAATAGAGATAAAACTGTTTTATAAAACATATGGCGGGAGCCTTTGCATAATGGGAAAGGAGCAGAGAGAAGACCCGAAGTGGAGATACGGGCCGCAAGAGAGGCATACATTTTAGTCAGAAAAGATACAAAAGGGCTATTGAATCCCATTTGCCCAGCACTCAAAACAGCCACCAAAACTGAATGCTGTTGAAAGCCTTTTCAGCATCAATTGCAGTCACGCCACTGGCGATGAAGGATGCCATTTGGCATGGTTAAGCACCATCAACACCTTCCTAATGTTGGACACCGCTGAACGGCCTTTCATAAATCCCACCTGTGCAGGTAAGCTGAGATGTCCGTTATAATCTTGGACAGCAGTTTTGCATCAAAATTGATAAGGGATATAGGTCGGTATGTATTTGAATGCTGTAGGTGAAAGAGAGAGAGAGCACACTTGGCATGTGCAGTGTTTGACCGATATGTGGGCTAATTTCTTCTGTGTTGGGGGAGTGCAGGCATGTCCTGCAGAGTAAAGGGATGGAGGGGGATCACCTGAAAAGTTTTGCGGTCAGGCTACGCATGACCCCGAGGTATGACATGGCACAAGAGCTTTTTTATATTCTGCAGAGCTGAATTATATTCTGGAATGCATGGGGCAGTTTTTGGGAAATGTCCTTAAAGATGAACAAATTCTTTAAACTCTTTGTTTGCTTGTTAAAAATAATGGCAGGCTGACAACAGCCATGGCTGTCCACCGCTGTTTAACTGTATCAGCACATCCGACTCTTACCTGCGGTTATGGACAGAGGTCTGACCCTGTCTGCGTCTGACAATCTGTAGTTTTTGCTGTTTGAGTTCTTTTGGATATACAACAGGAAGTGAGAAGGAATCTTTCTGAAGTGGATCAGGTGTCCAGTTAGATGACTTCTCCTCTATTTCTGCCCGAAGGCAACTGAAAAAGGTGGCACTTATTATTGCTTAAGGGCAATAACAGCTGTCACCAGGACAATTAGAGATGGTGCATCTGTCCAGGGGGGACACCATACCCCTATCAGGCTTTTATTGGTGTCTAACAATTAAAAATTTTTGCCTGGGGGTACACTAGTAAGATTTTGTGGGTGAGCGCAATTGTAAGGCTTGGCATGTTTGGTGTCTATTTACCCGACGTGACCCCGTATTTTATATTTTATAAAAAAATTGGGTAATAATAAATGTTTTATAATTAAATATAGGGGAAACAGTTTTTTCCCCCCACAATTTACAGTAATTTTTCCTTAACATAGTAAAAAATAAAGACTGCAGTGGTGATTAAATACCACCAAAAGAAAGCTCTATCTGTCCCCAATAAATGGTATACAATTCTTTTCAGTACAGCATTACATGATAGAATAAATGTCAGTCAAAGTACCGCAGCGCTGAATACTGAAAAATGGCCTGGATGGGAAGGGGGTTTAACACCCCGGTCATCAAGTGGTTAAAAGCAAGCCCCTGGCCCTTCGTTGCACCACTTGCCAAACGTGCATACTGAAGTCAGTGGGGCCATACAGTAACTACACGCCAACCGCTTGGCATGCGGTAGCAGTGTGGTATGTCAGTTTCAAATTCCCCTTCGGATGAAAAAAAAAAGACATTCAGAAGGATGTAGTATTGCCTCCTGAATCCCTGCAAAACACTGCTCCACCGTGCTCTGAAAAACCATCCTCCTTGGATTGCTTATCACAGGGACAGTAAGCTGACGTGAAACATGGTCACAAAGGTGGACTATGCTCTCATGTGGGAGTTGCCATGGCTGGCCTCCTAAAAAATGCTAGTTGCCTGGCTGTGTCCGATGTCAAAATGTCCTAGACCCACAATAAGTATGTGATACGTGAGTATCAAAATTCCTGATCACTATCAGGGTTATTCACAAAAGGGTGAAGAGATTGATTTGGAAAAATTCTCCAATTCAGCTCACTTTCTAGCTCAGCTATGTTGTCCTAGATTGTTCACTTCTCCTGCCTTCTCCAAACTCTTCACCCTTTTGTGAATAACTGTATATTTCTGTGTCAGACTGGGCAAGTATTGAACCCATAAGCCAGGCTTCTAACATTTCAAAATAGAAGTATAAATATAGATATATAAATATTGGTTGCTGTTGTGTACTTCCTTTTTTGAAAATAGTAATGGCTTGCTCATAGGTTCAATACTTATACAGATGTAAGTTTATAAAAGCAATAACTCAATACCACGGAGGTGAAAGCATCCTGCACAAGAGACCCGAACATCTAGCTGAGCCTCTGCCAGAAAGCCCCTGTAGGTGGCGCTGTTGCAGAGTTTGCACAGGCGCAGTACATATTGGAGTCTATCCCAGCAGAGCTGGTCAGCTGTTTCCTGGTTGTTACATCACATCCTGCCCTGAAAAAACATGAAAGTTTAGGGCGCGAGATACGATTGTGTGTTGAATTGTCAGCTGCAAGTCTGCGCCACATACAAGCATGGACCCGGCCTCCTGTATGAAGAGCTTACTTCTAGCCATAGCACAGTACAAGGGCATCAAGAACGAGGCCAACGGGACTGCTGTACAGAGACAGCTGGAGGTATAGAAGATCCCTGCTTATCTCATACACTGTATATACATGATCAGTATACGGGGCTGTGCTCAGCACTTCCACACCTTACAGTCTGACCACACAATCTTCTTTAGATCTACCACAGACTATATAATGCAATGGCCTGTCTGATTGAATACAAACGGATCGGATAGTTTATCATACAGGGGTGTGGAATTCCTATGGCCCCAGACGGGCAGTTCTGCGCTCCGGGCAAGTAGTTTTATTTTCTACATTTAGTCCTGCTACATGTAGTGTGGAGCCGTTTTCTACAAGTGAGCTTGAGCTGCTGTACAGCCGCCCAAGATCACTTGTAAGCAACCCGATGCTCACTTCCTCTCTTTCCGCAGCTGCTGCCTCTAATAAAGCTCCCGGCTGCCTCTCTCCCTGCCCGCTGACTCCCTTTCTGCTGTGGTCTTTGGGGTCCCCCGCTCTTGTTCGCAGCCTTTGTGTCACAGGAGAAGGAGCACAGTGCGGTCCTAGAACTCCTGTGACGGGGTTAATAAAGAGAACCTGTCACCTCCAAATGCTATCACAAAGGGGATTGCTAGCTCCTGAGTAATGGCAATAAAGTCAAGTGGAAAAAAATTTGTCAAAAAATAAATTAAAAATGTCAATACATAAACATGTAAACATTTTTTATAATAATTCAAGATATAAAAAGGTGATAAAGTAAAACAAATTATAAAAATAAATTAAAATTAAAAATTTGACAAAGTAAATTAAAACCAAACCCCGCTGCCCCCACCATCTGCATGAGAATAAACACATGCATAGGGCATTGCGTGTGTGTGAGCGGAGTGGGCGATCCATGACCACACAAAATCATGCAGCTGGCCGGGCGGTCACAGAATCGCACACCACCGACGAGCGCGCTGGCAGTGCCATTATTTTCTAATGGCACCCCAGTCGCGCCAGGCAGATTGGTTTCCTGCCGCAATACCGCCTATGCAATCGCGCATAATTGCGGTTGAAAATAGTGCGTGTTGCAAAAAAATTTTCCCAGCGATTGCCACGCGGATGTAACCCCATTGGAATCCATGGGCCCACACGGCAACCGCTGTATGGAACTGCACAGGATTGCTCAAGTCTGCACCAGGCCTAAAGGGAGGATTCACTTTCCCAAGTAATTTGGGAAGATTGAATTACCTGCACAAATCTGCCCCCAGCCCACCCATACCTTTCAAGGAACGGTCCTTCCCATCTGCCAGTACAGGTGTACTATCTGTACCTGTGCCATGTATTCTGAATTTCGCTTGCAAGTTGCAAGCACTTGTTGGCCAGTGCGGTCACCTGACGGTGCTGACTAATGAGAAGCACTTCTTAGCACTGCTAAATATGGTTTTGGTAAAAAAAAATTTTTTTTGTATTGTGACAAGTAGATTGTTATGAGGGACAAGTAGATTTGGCCCCGCTTTAGTCCTTGGACACGTAGTTTTTCTGTTTTTTTTAATTTCCACACCACTGGCCTGTCTGAATACAAACTGATCAGATAGTTTATCATATTACATAGATTTGCTAAATCTGAAGTTGATTGTGCAGCCAGATTGTAATGCGTTTGGTGACCCATATGCCTGCTAGTCTGGGATTTTCCAGCTCCAGGGACTGCTGTGCTTTATGGTTCCACCAGCTGTTATTGTTTCCTGAGGGAGCCATGGATGCTGCCTATGCTGTAAATTCGAGTTGCTTTCCTGTCCTGCTGACTTCAGTACTGTACTGACCTGTAGCAAGCTTGTAGATAGACTTCTGTCTTTCCTGACCCCAATGGTTGCACTGGGTCTCTGACAGGCCAACATGGGTAAGAGGGTCAGCAATGGTGATCTCTGTCTCTCTGCACATTTAAAACAACTCTAGATGAAAAGTATTCAGTGGGAGGATAAGACACGTGACAGTTGATTCTTCAGCCTCTGTAGTTCCACAACAAAATGAAGATTGGCAGCTTAAGCTATAAATATCAATCCTTTTCTTTACATGAAGTGGCCCTTTAAAGAAAAGGCTTAATATGTATTGCCTAATGCCTATGTCGTCAGTCTTCACTCTTTTACTGTGGGCCGAGAATCACCTGTCTCATCCTTTATCCTCCCGCTGGCTGCTACTTTGCTGCAGGACCGTAGTGATATATCGGTCAGCAGATGGAACCACAGAGCCCATCAAGAGGCCACCATGTTGGAAACTAAAGATTTTTCAGCCAGCTTAGCTATTTAAAGAAGAACTCTGGGCAAAAGTGTTCTTAAAGTGACATTAAACCCTCAGATTTTTTAACATAAACCAATACTGTAATGTGCGCCTTACTGTAATCCATGGTAGTTTCCCTTCTCTTTGCTACTCTTCCTTTTAAATCTGTATCTGTTCTCATGCTGGGCAGAACTTCCCTTTGCAGCTGAGTGCCTCTTCCTGTAGTGCTGGCTCAAGTTGTGAACCTACCCCCAGACACCATGTATCCATTTCAGAGACAAGGCAGTCTGCTGCAAAACAGAAGTTCTGCCCAGCATGAGAAGACATGAGGATTTAAAAGGAACAGCAGCAAAGAGAAGGGAAACTACCATGAATTACAGTAAGGCACACATTATAGTATTGTTTTATGTTAAAAAATCTGAGGGTTTAATGTGACTTTAACCCTTGAGGTGGGGCTACCCCCACACTGAAAGGGTTAAGTGCTTGTTTTTGTCCAGGTGCAAAAAAAAAAGTTATACTCCACAATCCTAACCAGCTAGCTGTCACAGTGCTCCCTTCAGCCTTTCTCTTCCTACGCTGCAGCATTGGAACGTTCCTCAGCATCCTCATGTCAATGATTTACAGAACCTTAGACCACTGCAGAGGAGAGAGGCTGGAAGGACCGATCTAGGAGCCAGCCGGCTCTGCCGTTCGGGTGAGAATAATTTTTGGGGGTTTTAGCACCTAGACAGTGGGGCAGCCCCACTGCAGGGGTTAATAGAAGTTTTGCCTGGAGTTCTTCTTTAAGGTTGAGTTGTTCAGTTGCTATTTGTTTTGACATGAAGCGTCAATAAACAGACGTGTTCTTCACTTCAATATGGCGTGCTGGTGACATCCTTAACTAGTTTCCGTATTGGCTGCGCCATTCGCGGTCACATCGAGCACCCACGTTGACAGGTAAGGAGTGCAGCAGGATTCTGGAATACATATCTTACCTAAATTGATCACATGTATGCATTCCTTAATAGCATAGATTGACATGAAACCTTTACAGGAAGTGCTTATTTAAACAGATTTCCTCTAGGAGTAGATGATGTAGCCATGAAGCTCTCCTTGGTTGTTTTGTGTGCATTTGTTTATTTTGATTCATTCTCGTTCTTTAAAAGCAGGATAATAAACATTGTTTTGGTTTTGTTTTTCGCTTGTATTTGTCTGTAAGGTTATCTCTGGGCTGAAGTTAAACAAGTTATTTGCTTCAAACCAAATACTACCCAGTGAATGTCTGAGCAGTCTTGTGGAACTTCTTGAAGACCCCAATACCAGTCCTGCGATAACACTGAAAACTGTTAACTTGCTCTCTAGTTTAGGTAAGTATCTTATGTGGAGCACTGTAGTAGCTGTAGTTCCTATCAAATACATGAATTCCGTTGGATTGGACATGTCTCATCTGCCTGTGTGTATAGCTGGTGCACTGCCATATATTCTAGTAACCAGCACACTTAGCTGTACCTATTTTATATTTCACATTTTGCTCTGTTTTTATATTTGACAGCTGCAGATGCTGAGACAAGAGAAACTCTGCATGCTACTTACAATCTTACCAACGTTTTGGCTGGTGTGGTTCACAGATATAGCTCCATCTTAAATGATCCAGTTTTATTACAGGTTTGTACATTTCTATTGCTTGGCTTTAACTATTTACAGCTAAAATACCCAGAATGCATACAGTGTCCCAAGTAAAACCAAAATACAGAATGGTATCAATAAATCACTCAGAAACAGTTTATCCCCTTAACCACCTGCTGTCCGGCCGTGGACCGCGGCTTCTTGAATGCGGGTGGGCGTTTTTAAACGTAGTCAGCTAGCGAGGGCTGTTTACATACAAGCGTTCGGGCGTCTGTAGAGATGCCCGATCGCTTGTAATATGCATGCGGGTGTGCGGCCCCCCTCCGTTGCAGCCGCTGCTGGCGATCCCGAGCTTCGGTGTGAGCCCGGGAGCAGCACAGCAGCTCTGTGCCCGTAGATCAGTACACGATCTCCGTTTGATCTCCTCCTCTTTGAAATGCAGGAAGTGATGTGTATCACATCACTTCCGCATTCCTCTGTCACTCTCCGGTGCAGAAATCGGAGAGAAGCTGGTGAAGCAGGTGTTTGCTTCATCAGCTTCTCTGGGGGTCCCTAGGTGACATTAGGGGTCTTAAAGACCCCTTATGTCTCCATAAAGAGGACCTGTCACTGAAAATTGGCTATCACAAAGGGGGCTTGTTAGTTCCCTATGTGATAGCAATAAAGTTAAGTGGAAAAAAACAAGTTTAAAAGAATTGATAACAAAAAAAATATTAAATTTAAAAGTCACATATAAAGGTAATAATAAAAAAAGATTTAAAGTACCCCGACCCCCACATAAACATGCGTCGAGTGCGCCTAGGTGCGGAAACAAGGATTGCATCCATTACGCCGCACAAGTTACATATCGCCACGAACGTCGCAGTGAGAGCAATCATTTTAGGGTCATCAATCACTGATAACACTAAACTGATGAGCAGTAAAAGCTTTTAAAGCTTCGCCTATGGCCAATTTTGGGTATGGTAGTTTTTGCGAATTCGCCGTGACCCCGTCTTTTATATTTTACCAAACATTTGGGTAATAATAAATTGTTTTACAACATAACGTAGGGAAAACAAAAATTTTTTTTCCCCGAAATTTTCTGTACTTCCTTCATATAGTAAAAAATAAAACCCCAGTGGGGATTAAATACCACCAAAAGAAAGCTCTATCAGTCCCCAAAAAATGTTATACATTAATTTCAGTACGGCGTTGCATGACGGAATAAATGTCAGTCAAATTACTGCAGCGCTAAATACTGAAAAATGGCCTGGACAGGAAGGGGGTGTAAACACCCCGGTCAGCAAGTGGTTAAAGGAGAATTATGAGGTGAGTTAAAATCACTCACCTCATAGTTGTAGCCGTCCTGTGACAATGAAACTGTCACACGTCGGCTCAGTAGATCGGGAACATAGATTGAACACATAGCGTCGCTCACTCACTTCTCGATCTATCCCTGCAGAGAGCCGTGACTGTCACGGCTCCCTGCAGGGATTCCCCCCCTGTCCTATCCTCCAGCGCTGACTGGCGGAACGGACGGGGGAGGGGGCGGGCACAGCTGGCTCTGCCTCTAGATAGGCAGAGCCAGCTGTCAATCCCACAGCTGGGTGGATCTCGACAGTAATGTCGGGATCCGTCCCGGCTGCGGCGTCTCAGTATACCGCGAGCTGTAGATCGCAGTATACTGAGGTTAGGGTGACGGGAGGACGCTAGTTTGTGTCCTACCGTTACCCTTAGTAGAACTATGGGGAAAAGCCCTGACCCCATAGTTCTCTAAGGACAAGGCCTTTTTTTTCCTTTTTTTTTTTTTGCACCCATGTTATAATCCACAAATTACTTAAAACCCCCCAACATTATATATTTTCTGACAGCCAAGACCCTATAGAATAAAATAGTTGCAGTTCCAAATTTTTATGTTGCATGACATTTGCGCAACGTATCAAATCCAAACATTTAGTGAAAAATGCACTTAAGTTAAATTTGTGTGTGTGTCTGTGAAACCAACAGAATTCAGTACCCAAAAAAGTCCATAGACGACGCTTTAAAAGCCCCTACAGGTCATCAGTTTAGAGTTGTGTTTTAAATATTGGCCCTAGAATTATTTCTCTCACTCTGGTGTGCACGGCAATACCCAACATGTGCAGCGCGATCATGGTTTTTTACACGTAGCTCCCCAGGCACGTATTTACGTGATGACGCGTGTGCTCCCTGAGGCTTACAAGCCCCCCATGTGATAGCATATTGGCAGCGACAGGTACTCTTTAAGGTGATGCTGGGGGTCCAAAAAATCCCCTAGTGTCCCCTTTTCATTCCAAATAAACTATTGAAACGGGAGGGGGGCGGCCTGGTTACCGGATCGTAGAAGCGATCTGGCGGCAGCTGAGCAGCCAGAATCGCTTCTACTGTAAGCCGGCTCTACAAAACTGAACAGACACCCGGCGGCTGAAAGCCGTCGGGAGTCTGTTTAACCCCTTCAAACTTCATGACGGGATTATCCCTTCATGGGTCGTGAAGGGGTTAAACAGTTGAAGGTTTTTGTTTATAACTGCATTTTTCACTATCAACAAAACCTGCTATGTCTGCCATTTCCTTCCTTGCACACTACCTATGCAGCACTCCTCCCAGTGTTGTGGGTGCAAGTCTCACAGCATAAAGCATGTCATGTCTATGCACAGCATGCTCTCCCTCTTCTTTCAATAATGCCCTTGTATTAAGGTGCCCATACACTGGCCAAATTTCAGCCAGTTTTTAACGTACCGGCCGAAATTTGCAGTGTTTGGAGCTGTCGGCTCCCTTCCAGCCGGCATTTCTCGATCAGCTGATCGAAGGAGCCTGCTGGAAAATCTTTGTACAATCAGAGCCTGCAGCCAATAATTGAGAAAACTAGCAGTGACTTCTAATGCCTTAATAAATATTTGGGGCTATTTTGTTTTAGAAACAATACATGTAAGGGCCTGTAAAGGGTGTTGATATTTGGAAAAGTATTGGGTTTACAGCTGCTTTAAAGGAGAATTATGAGGCGAGTGATTTTGAATCAGCCTCCTAATCTGAGCCGACCTGTGACAATGAAATTGTCACAGGTCGGCTCAGTAGATCGGGACGTGAGCGAACACATACCGGCGTTCGCTCATTTCTCGATCTATCCCTGCAGAGAGCCGTGACTGTCACTCACGGCTCCCTGCAGGGATTCCCCCTCCCCTGTTAGATCCTCCAGCACTGATTGGCGGAATGGACGGGGGAGGGGGCGGGTACCGCTGGCTCTGCCTCTAGATAGGCAGAGCCAGCTGTCACTTACGCAGCTGGGTGGATCCAGACAGAATTGTCGGGATCCGTTCCGGCTGCGGCGTCTCAGTATACCGCAAGCTGTAGCTTGCGGTATACTGAGCTTTGGATGACCGGAGGGCGCTAGTTTATGTCCTCCCGTTACCCTTAGGAGAACTATGGGGAAAAGCCCTAACCCCATAGTTCTCTAAGTAATTTACAATATTCACGTCACTCTGTTGGCACATTGCTTTTAATACATGCTATGCCTAAATGAGCTGCTATGTGTGTTCAGTAGAGACCTACAATCCTGGTATCTATCTGATGACAGAGCATTAATGTGAACTGCTGTGGTAACAAAGTGATTTCTTGCTGCCTCACACTGGGGTTTGTAGGCAAGGAGATTGGTTGGTTTTAGAGCTGATGCTCTGGCATGAATTATATTTATTACTTTAAAAACTGCAACATGTTTACACTTTTGAGAATGTATAAGAGCATCATTAGGGCTGTGTGCTTCATCTGTTTTTAATGTCTCAGCCCAGGCCAGAGATATGGAGAGCACTACCTCCAATACAGTGGTAGCCAAACTCTGGCCCTCCAGCTGTGGTGGAACTACAGAATGTTGAGGCATTGCAACATTCTCACAGCCACAGACATGACTCCCAGAGAGAGATGAATCATGGGATTTGTAGTTTCACCACAGCTGGAGGGCCGGAGTTTGGCTACCCCTGCTCCAATACGACTTGACTTCTAATAACTTGAGCTTTTCTAAGATGTTGATTGTTCAACATCTCTTTATAGCTGGCTTGCTTACTTTGTCTTGCTGGTGTTTTTAATATAGTTATCCTATTTTATTTATTTTAATTAGAGCCTTCAGCTGTTACAACGGTTGACCTACAATATAAGAGTTTTACATGCAAGTGTTAACATCGAGGAACTGATATCCTTCTTGATGAACAGAATGTAAGTAAACTTCTAGCAATTTATTTCAGTCAGCTTTTTATGAAGGAAAAAAAAATCTGACTTTTTGGGTTCTTTGTTTCCTTGTTATGAGTATTTTTGTTATAGCCAATTGCATCTGCTTCTGTTTAGGCTTTAATAGTTTTTTCTTCTTGGTTTTTCACACACCTGTCATCGGTTTTTGAGTAAATGGGAGTCCAGCTAAGCGTTATTGGAGCTATAATGTCCACATGGCTTAAATTTTGTGTAGTACACTAGTTTTAGACTAGGGCTGCAGGTAACAATTATTTATATTTAGTGAGACGTTTATTAAGTTCGATTAATCGACTAATCGGATAAAAAAAAAAAAGGCTCCAGTGATGGACTACTAGTTTCTATTGAGATTGTAGTCCATCACGGGAGCAAGCTTGGGGCGGTGGAAGTAAAAAAAAAAAGTGTGGTGTGCAATATAGTACATTATACAGCGGCACAGTGCAGAATACCAGCAGAAATTTGAGACGTGCATGATCCAGTCAGCGCCACGTGGCTCAACAAACTTTAGTTTGAAAAATTAAAGGAGCATGGTGGAAAATTGTAAGCCGAACAGCAATCCAATCGGATATAGTCAATGTTCAGATATTCAGGCTCTTTGCCTGTGCCAGCGGTCTGAATACAATATGTAGCAGGCGAGATGTCTCCATCCATACTCTTTTTAGTGTTGTTGAGAAATAAAGTGTTTTCTCAAAAAGTTGTGTGGCCAGTTTTATTCTCCACTGCAGAAACCAACACAATTCTGGGCAATCTGATAGGCACACAGTGGACAAAACAAATAGTTAAAGTGGCCCTGCCACTACAGGATAAAAAGCGCGCATAGCAATACCTGCTGAAAAAAGGCAATTTAAATACTTGGCGGTAATGCATGGCTCATTATGAATTGCACCCGCATGAATTGTACATCATTGTGGTGCACTGTGCTGTTAAGAAAGGTCATGTACTTTGTGTTAGTTTTTGTGTGCTGCCATCCTCTCATGATAAATGGGCTGGTTTAACACACCAGAATGGGATGCAAAAGTGTGTATAGGCCCTTAATAATTCTTGTTGTTTGTGGTTTCCAAGTCATTGTACTGGATGGTACTACATTTTAGGAATACTGCTGCTTTTTGAGGGAGGGGCTTAGATATTCTGAAACTTCATATTAATCTGAAAAAATAGGTGGTTTCCAGCTGAGGGACTGTATCAAAGTTCTGTATCTAAAAGAAGCATAATTTTTTAAGCTCCACTTGATTTGTGTTATTAATCTTCTTATGGTTAAAGTAGAAATGTGGTCATATATAACAATGTCTGGGAAAGCAAAATGTATTTGTCCTTTTATATCTTCTAGCCAGTCACCACAAGATGAGCTAACCATGCCTTGTCTGGGCCTTCTGGCAAACCTTTGTCGGCACAATCTTTCTGTACAGTCATACATAAAATCTTTGGTAAGAGGATCCTAAAACTTTCACTAGAGGTGCACCGAAATGGAATTTTCAGTCCGAAACCAAAAGTTTTTAAAGTTTATTTAATATTTTATTTTAATTTTTTATTTTTTTTTACTTTATTGTCGGGGGCTCTGGGGAAATATCATATGTCTAAACAGACCGCTGATATTTCCCTTTTAAAATAGAAATTGATAGAAAACAGAGTATTTAATCTCTTTTTCTGCAGCCCCTGTTATGAATGAACAGGAAGCTTTTATACGGAGTGCTGCTGTCCATTCATAAATTGAAGATTTAGTATCAGTTACTACTGTATGTCCACAATCATGAATGAACAGGAAGTGATATAGAGCACGTCCTATTCATGCATAATTGGGGACCCAGTAAACATACTGAGGGGGATTTATCAAAACTGGAGTAGACAAAATCTGGAGCAGCTGCGCATGGCAACCAATCCACTTCTTTCTCTCATTTTAACATCTTAACTGAACAAACTGAAAAGAGAAGCTGATTGGTTACCATGCACAGCTGCTCCAGATTTTTTTCGGTTCCAGTTTGGTTAAATTCCCCTATGTCAGGGATGTCCAAACTCCGGCCCTCCAGCTGTGGTGAAACTACAAATCCCATGAAGCATCACTCCCGGAGTCATGTCTGTGGCTGTGAGGATCTTGCTAAGCCTCATGGGATTCGTAGTTCCACCACAGCTGGAGGGCCGCAGTTTGGACATCCTTGTCCTATGTTCTCAATTATTTACAAGCACTCCGTGTTCAGCTGATGAGTGCTTGTAACCCAGTCTCCATACTGACTCCTTGGGCTGGAGGGTGAGAGAGCTCAGCCTCCTGTGGCGGCTGACAGCTTACTCCTCCCCCGCACTGCCAGCTCGGCCTCCACCGACAGCTGTTTCCCCCCCCACACTGCTCTTAATCCTGATTTGTTGTCACAAGTTGGGCCAGCTGGGTGGTGTGGGAGGAGAGTTTGGCCTCCTGTGACACCGACTACTTAAAAGCATTCTCCTCCTTATCCAGCTCGTCCACCTGACAGTTTCTCCGCTGCCCACTGGACATTGCTCTTTGAGAGGGGACACAGAGCAGTGCCCAGCGAGCAGGAGAGAAACCAAGGATGCACCACAATTTTGGCACCAAAAATGGTACTTTCTGCATTTTGCCCAAAGTACCATTTTCAGCCAAAATGTTTTGGCGGCCAAAATTTCGCTGCATTTCTAATTTTCATTGTAAACTATACAAATAAAGGGGCTGATTTCTCAAAAAATTATACATAGCTTACTGTATAAAATGCTTTTATACAAATAGAATCTTATTTTGTACAAAGAAATGCATAGGAACTTTTATCCACACTACTTTTATGAATTGTTTATTTTCTATTGTCTTGATGTGCTTGAGTTAATTGTAAGGTTGCTGCTCATACAAGAATGTCTTTCATCTAGACCACTGAGATTTTCCGAACCTGCCGTGATTTTTATTTCTGATGTATTTTAATATGGCCATTCTTGCTTTATAGGAAATTGTGAATTGTCATATTCTGACACTCCACTTACTACAGTACATTTGTGCTTTACTAGTGTGTATCATTATGTGATCAGTCTCAGTCTCTTGCCTATTACTAAAGCAGAAATGCAGTTTTAATGCATCTCTGCACTGCTGCAAGTCTCTGGCTTATTTGAAAAGACGCAAAACAGTGTTATGCCTCATTGTTTCGGTGCTGTAAACAAATAGATGAGTCTGGTTTCTGCAGATCATTACAGTTTCAACATTATCATTGCTGTTTGCACTGCTTTATCACTGAAAAGCATTATTATAAGTTGCTTGGAATATTTGTTTTTAATAAGATGTTTGCTGCTATTGAGATTCAACATGTATCGACTTTTGCATCTCTTTATTTTACAGAATAATGTTAAAGCATTCTATCGTACATTAATCAGCTTCTTGGCCCACAGTAGCCTTACTGTGGTAGTATTTGCACTTTCAGTACTGGCAAGCTTAACACTGAATGAAGAAGTAGGTGAAAAGGTGAGGCAATCACAGACTTTATATCCTCTACTCTTTTGTATTCAATGCAAATAGCTAAAATTCCTTTAACTGGAGATTTTTATAAACAGTTATATCTACATAGACTTAGAATTAGGACTAAATGAACATGTCACTAGTTTATTGTCGTAGAAAAAAGACTCCCATTACTGCAAGGTAATTGGTACATAACCATACATCAAAAACATTGTTCATACATAGCCGAGGGTGCCACAGATTAGCTATAAAGTTCACTCTGTTGAATGAGACCCAGGTCTCTGGGCCACCCACCCTGCCCAGCTGGAGAGAGAGGGGAAAATAAAAAAAAAGAAAGGGAGAGATGTTTTCTGTGTGACGTATAAGGATTTGCATGATACAGGGACTCTCCTATATTGGGGGAGCTTCAAATATGTCATCTTCAGGTTATCATTTGGCTCAGATTTAAAGGAGAACTATGAGGTGAGTGCTTTTCACTCACCTCATAGTTCTAGCCGACCTGTGACAATGAGACTGTCACAGGTCGGCTCAGTAGATCGGGAAGTGAGCGAACACATAGCGGCGTTCGCTCACTTCTCGATCCTGTCACGGCTCTCTGCCTTGACAGGGGAGGGACTGGATTCCCCGCTCCATTCCTCCAGCGCTGACTGGTGGAACGGACGGGGGAGGGGGAGGGTACAGCTGGCTCTGCCTCTAGATAGGCAGAGCCAGCTGTCACTCACGCAGCTGGGCGGATCCATACATAATTGTCGGGATCCGCTTCAGCTGCGCCGTCTCAGTATACCGCGAGCTGAGGGTTATACCTAACACTAAGGAGAACTATGGGGAAAAGCCCTAACCCCATAGTTCTCTTAAGTGGATACTCGGGAACAGTCATGCTACACATATATCATGTACTATTTGTAAGCTAAGATGATCGCGGATCCAGAGTAAATTATCCTAATATGGAAGCATAAATGCTGGCACATATGTACTGGGAAACAAATCCCACTTACTATATGACCCAATTCCACCGATGATAGAATGTGTGAATTGGAAAATATATTACAGGCCACACAAAGTGTACATATTTAAAGTGGAGTTCCAGGCACAAAGCCATCTTTTATAAATATTTACCTGTAAAAATGTTACGTCTGAGCCAGTGAGTTGGACTGTAAATAAAAGTAGTCTTCACAGTAGTTGTGATCAAAATTATTCAACCCCCATTACAAATCAGGTTTATTGGCAAAATGTACAAAGTTTCAGCTGTTTGCGATGAACAAATCAAACAAAAGCAATTGAAACAGGTCACCACCACGAATGTTTCAGAAGTTTCCCCAAATTCAACTGAAAACGCAACTTTTAATTCTGCAGTCTAAAAATGACTCATCCTCTTCATGGGAAGCATCTTTAGTACTTAGTAGAGCACCCTTTTGCTTTTATGACCTGCTGCAAACAAGATGCATAGGTAGACACACCAGCTTCTGGCAGTGTTACTGAGGAATCTTAGCCCATTCCTCATGAGCAATGGCCTCCAGTTCACTAATATTCTTGCGTTTGCTTGCTGCAACCACCTTCTTCAAATCCCACCACAGAGTTTTCTATATAAAAGTATACAAGTGTGGGTTTTTTCTTTTCTTCTTTTTTTTAAGTATCTCATGTATTTCCGGTTTCTTCCTTTGCACATATAAAGGCTCTTTTTATAAAGTAATGGTAACACAGACTCTGATTTCTTTTATGCTCTAATGTAATTTTTATCATCTTGGCTTCTTGCCTGTTTGTCAAATTACTGATACTGTGTCCTGTAAACAGTTTGAAAAGTGTTTCTTTGTCTTTGCTTTGATACTCGCTTGACCTTTTTATATTGAAAAATAAAAACAAGGCAGCAAGTAGTAGGTTTTCTCTGATAATCGCATGCACAGTTTGTAAGCAGTTATTGAAAGTGGTAACTTTAGCGAATCTTATTTTTGTTTCCCTAACCTTTTTACTTAGGCTGGGTTCACACCTAGGCGTATTGTAATATGCGCGTCTGTCACACGTTTTTTTTTACCGCGATTCGCGGTAAAAAAGTCGCGCGATTCCAAAGGCTACTTGGCTTATCCCAATGGAAAACGCCCTACAAAACGGCCCAAAGTAGTCCAGGGACCTTTTCAGGCGTGGGCCGTTTTGTAGGGCGTTAGGCGTATTTCCGCCCGTCCCTAGGTGGGAACGAGGGCATTGACTACAATGCAATTTATATTTTTGACCGTTTTGTAGAGCGTCCGTCGGGCGTAGGACGCGCTACAAAACGGTCAGGTGTGAACGGGGCCTTAGAGTGCCATGTCAAGCATCTTTGCTTTTGCGGAGGCTGATCAATTCAAAACATAACCATAGCATACACTAGGCAACATTTCACTTATTTTTTTTTTTTCTGGTTGTAACTCCACTATACACTACTTTTATTGGTAGTAATAACCATGTCAACCAAATAAACTAATGTTTGCTTTTGATTAGCAGCAAATAAAATATAGTGTACAGCAGTAAACAAAAATTGGGGGGGGGGGGATTTATATAAAAATGAAAATAAATAAATACAAATAAACTGTATTTGAACTGTTTAACAACAGAACCGGACAATAGTGTCCTATTTTCAATCAACGTAGAAGAATATGGCATATTCTGGTTTTCATAAGGTCTTGCTGGACAGGTCCGAAAAAATTGCAGTATCAGGCTGGATCTGGCCCCCAAGCTTTTCTTTGGGAAAGCCTGGCCTAATTCAAAGGAAACTTCTTTAGCCAGCTTGTGTGCTTTATTTATTATCATTATTATTATTATTATTCAGGATTTATATAGCACCAACAGTTTGCGCAGCATTTATAAAGGAAGACAGTACAGTTACAATACAATTAAAGTAGGGCTGTTACTGATTAAAATTTTCGTGTTTGATTAATCAAAATTTTTTTTAATTGATTAATTATAACGCACATACAGATTCAACTACATTGGCCTATACACATACAGCACAGCAATGAAGTAATAAAATGAACTAGTATCACACTAATCCAGCACGTTATTAATCTCACGTGCCCCACTCAATATGGCCGCCGCTTGAGTGGGACAGCTCAGAATAATAACGTGCTGGATTAGTGTGATCCTAGTTCATTTTATTACTTCATTGCTGTGCTGTATGTGTATAGGCCAATGCCTTGGCTGGCACTCGTGCAGAAAGTTTCTTGGGCAAACCTCTTAGTTGGAACGAAACCGGAAGTCAGGCGTTCGCAAAACTCGATAAGTGTCGACAGATCACCGGTGATCGATCGAAAGTTCAAACTTATCGAGTTCTGGGACCGCCTGACTTCCGCTTTCGTTACAACTAAGAGGTTTGCACAAAAAAGTTCTTCTGCACGAGCGCCAGCCAAGGCATTGCTCTATATACATACAGCACAGCAATGAAGTAATAAAATGAACAGGATCACAGTAATCCAGCACATTATTCATCTGAGTTGCCCTACACAAGCGGCGGCCATATTGAGTGGGGCACCTGAGATAAATAATGTGCTGTATTAGTGTGATCCTAGTTCATTTTAGTACTTTATTGCTGTGGTCTATGTGTATAGGGCGATGGCTCTCGTGCAGAAGAACTTTCGTGGCCAAACCTCGTAGTTCTAAGGAAACCGGAAGTTAGGCGGCCCCAGAACTCGATAAGTTGGGACTATCTATAGAACATCGGCCCAAGTGGCTCCGTCGGCTAACGAAGGGAAGGGGCGAGGAGTCCGGTGACGTTGATGTTCCGTAAAAATTTTAACGATTAATCGAGAAATTAATCGTTCATTTCCGCAGCCCTAAATTAAAGACAAGGTGGCGAGGAGGACACTGCTTGTGAAAGCTTACAATTTAAAATTATTTTCCTTTGAGCCCAATTTTTGCCTAATTGAAGTAAAATATACATTCTAGAATACTTTACATGCATCATTGTTGCATATTTATTATTTATTTACTCTTACATAAGAATAATCAAAAATGATCATAAACTGTTACAGGGTAAGCCCACCAAAGGTGATATTTTAATTTTAGGTGGTGACTGGTAGCATTAGTCATGCCTCTTGATTCTATTCATAAAATTATTTAAAATGTATAGATGGCTGAGGTCTCTCTGAGATTGCAGTTTTGGGTATTCACAGCCCTTTGAGATGTTTATTCTTCTATTGCATTCTACATACTATAAAATAAAATAAAAATCCTGCAGGGTGAGGGAAGCACCCTCTTACACTAAATGGAGTACAAGAGTGAAGGTATATTAAGTGTTTGCACAGTAACCCAAAACACCCAACCAGAACTCTGCTTTAAGTCTTCACTATTTTAAACTGTAGAAGCATTTAGATTTTTGTTTAAGCCCCCTCTGGCTGCATATCATTTTTTTCTTTATAGTTCTATATACTCGCCATGTTCAAAGTCTTTAGACTGGTTTCATCACACTTTAGGGTCCTTGACTTCTTTTATCTCTTGTGATGGCAGCATCTCTCTCTAGGGGGGTGTGGACGACCCCTCGCGAGGTAGGGCCATGATGCCCTGCATTCACACTAGAGTTGTGAATCCTCCGAGTTAAATGATGCCGGGCATCATTCAATGCGGGAAGACTAAGGAAAACTTGTGGACACAATCTTTGTATTAAAAAAGTGCTGCAGCCAGGATTTTTTTTTTTCCAGCACCTAGGGGTCAATTTTTTTCAAATAAAAAAAAATGATTAGCTGTGACACTTCTGTTTTTATTCTTTTTTTTTTTTTAAAGAGATCATAAGTGTTTTGATTATATTCTTCAAAAACCAATGCCAGCCAGTAGCCCCTAAAAACCTCTCTGATTTATCTTTCTATATCTTAAATACAATACAGTTTTACAAACTCGCAACAAGTATTTTTCATCCGCAAAAAGATTTTATTATATTATCGTCATATGCTGCTTTTTATGTAGAAACTGTTCTGTAAATTGTCATCCAAATGATTCACAGATTAGCTGCTGCTGATTGCAGAAGAGCATGTCAGTTCTTATGTTCTTGAACTTCAATCGGTACTGTGAAGTGAGTGCTGCTAAGCATGTGTTAGCTGCAGACAGCTGTCATGGCAAGGTCACACACCTCCCTATGGTTTTGGTTTTTGCTGTGTGCCTTCTGTTTTTTTTTAATATATACATTTTCTAAGCAAAGAACACAGTATGTTCTCTAAAGAAACACAAACCTAAATAGAGCATCTTAAACCTATTACATGACATTGATGTACTTATTTTGAAAATGTGTTTTATAGCTTTTTCATTCCAGGAATATACATCAGACATTTCAGTTAATATTTAACATTCTTGTAAATGGAGATGGGACATTAACAAGAAAGTACTCTGTCGACCTTCTTATGGATCTGCTTAGGAACCCTAAAATTGCTGATTACCTGACAAGGTAGTACTTTTTTTGCCGTTATTATACATTTGACAGTTGTCAAAAAACTCCCATGGTATGCTGTCATGAGGAGTGCCAGAAAATAAGTATTTATACACTGCCTCGTATTGGAATCAGACCTGTTTGAGTCACACCAGCTCAGCTTCAATATGCTGAGGAAGAGTGGCCACACATCGGTCCTCCCTCATGTCATCCCCTGCACAATATAAACATACTTTTCCTGCAGACATACGACTGCCCATCTACAATTTTTAAAGTTAGACAGATGAATTGGTTAAGTAGTAGGTTCATTTTAACGCTCTATTTAACAGGATAGTGTGGTATAGGGTTATTTTTAGGGTCACGAAAAGTGTTAGAGATAACTTAGCAGTTTGGAACATGGACACTCGTATTCTTATTCCGATTGGGGGGGGAACTGATCAAAACTGGAGCAGACAGAATCTGGAGCGGTTGCCCATGGCAACCAATCGGCTTCTTTCTTCAGTTTGCTCAGTGTAAGATTTGAAAATAAGACAGAAAAGCTGATTGGCTGCAGTACAAATCTGCTCCAGATTTTGATAAATTCCTCCCAATGGGTTTTAGTACCAACATACACTGCTCCTGTCTCTACATCTCAAAGTAAACTTGCTCTTTTGAAAATACTTATAACCCTCATTCTATTAAAGTGTCCATGGAAAGTATAGCTCAAACCTGACGACAGTAGCTTGGGTTTCGGCCAAACGTTTAACTTGCCACAGCTATGGAGTGTAAGAGATGTCTATGGCATCAGTCAAAATGCTCCTCTTTGTCCAAAAAAATATATATTTTTTTTTAATTTTCTATTTAAATTACTTGCATTATGGTATACACTGAGCTTTATTCTTTTTCATTTCATTAGATATGAGCATTTTAATTCATGTCTTAATCAAGTCCTGGGACTTCTACATGGAAAGGATCCAGACTCTGCTTTTAAGGTAATTCAGCTCACTTATGTACCACTTGTGTAATGGAATGCAGGAATGCATTATAGGCGTACATCAGGGATTTGCTATTTTACCGAATGTATTCAGCTGTAATATTATGAGAACGAATGAAAGGAAGAAAAATATATGTCAATGAACAAATTCTTAGATCAATATGGTCCTATGGATCTATAGTAAATAAACTAATGCCACTGTAAAATATTGTGACTTCACCCTCTTCAAAATCAATACAACAGATCTTTTTTGTTATTTGGTTGAAAGTAAACCTATCAGAATTCTGGAGAAGCCTAATTTACATGCAAATCTGTTTCAAGTTGATCTTTGCCCAGCCCTTCCCGCCTTTTACAGTCTTTTTAATGTTGAGAGCTACTTCCTGGATAGCAATGAAGGAGTGGGGCCAAACTCAACTTTTACAGGAAAATGTAAGCTTACAACTTCAGCCCGGTCTATATTCTCTTGATCTGCTGATCATTTTAAAACTAGATTCAGTTTCTGGTTATACATCATATTCTCAGTTTGAATTGCCCAGGTTTGTGTTAGGTGTACTTTAAGGGCTGGTGTGCAGTGCCCAACACAGTGCCAATGTTTTCTTCTTCTTTTTTTTTAGAACCTTATTAAAATGTCTCACATGACAATTGATTCAATTCGACGGGCACAGCCAGGTACGAGGCAGTTGTACTGTATCGCATCCTGCTGCGCTAAAAAAATATAGCATCCTGTAATTCTTTTTCAGTGCATATCACCACAACGCCCATGCATTGCGGTAGTGTGAACCAAGCCCATCTGTGACCAGGCAGATTGCCTTGTCGTGCGTTGGGGCTGTGCTGGAAACAACGACCACATAGCCCCAACGCCTATGGTGTGAATGGACCCGAAGTGCTTAGCGTTTCAAGATTGCGGTTTTGGGACATGGTAAACGCCCAAAACTAATAATTTAAACCATTTTGTAATTCAACACATGAACTTGTATTTTATACTGACTAACTGATGAGCTGTTTTTCAGGTCTTGGAATTGCTGCTGGCTTTCTGTTCTGTGAAAAACTTGAGGCACATTCTGCAACAAGCTATATTAGAGCAGTCTGCTCCAAGTGGAGGGAATGGGAGACTGGGACCACGCACAAAATCTCCAAAGCTTGCAGTAGCTCTTGTTCATTGGTCAAGTCATTCACTGGAAGCTCATCAGAACTGTGCAGCATTGGCTTTGGAGCTCTTCAAAGAAGTGCTTGCGGTATGTTGGTTTTTAACTCCTGTTTTGCTTGGTTCCAAATAAATAGTTATTTAGGTGTGAAGGTTTAAATATGAATTAACATTTTAGGTCTATAGCATAAGTGGATTTGTATAGCAAGATCGTGGATTTCACTGGCATCTTCTGGGCAGACAATCTGTAAAGGGAACTGCAGACCTTCAATAGTGATTTAATTCTGTTTACACCAATTGTTATCAGGTCAGCATTTTTTTTTCTTGGTAACTCAATGGCCCATTCTTCAACATCGAATTGGCTACTGTGCTGGACTGACTTTGATTTATCAATTTAGTACGTGCTCTCAGTGAAGCCATTATTGTCCATGACAATGTGCAGTGCAAACAGTACACTTCAAAGGCTCTGGTAACACCAAAAAAGAGAAACAATGAGAGGTGTTATATAAGTCACTTATCCTTTGTCAGGTGTCAGGTGCAAAATACCCTGTTGTACACAAATACTTTGGTCAGTGAGAACTACCACTACTTAAAAAAAAAAAAAAGTGGCGCACTCTATATGAAGCTTAATTATACCACTTGTAAAGCATTTTCATTTTCTGCAACCCTCAAACTATATGTAAAGGCAAAAGATTTTTTTTTTTTTTAAATTTGAGTGAGGAAGGATCAGTGTTTGTCAGATTTTAAATACTGCCTGTGTCCCTGCTGGAAAGAATGGCTTCTTTATTTGTCCCGGTGTCCATTGTTATTGAGACAGAAGTGAGGAGATCCAACATCTAACCGTTGTAACTAGAAAAAGGTGAGGGTAAACCATCCAATAAGGACGAATGTTTCAGTAGCAGCATGTCCTCTCTTTTCCTGTTGTTCGCCAGTGGGACACAGACCACAAAAACTAAACTCTTTAGCACTTTTACATAAACTGTTCCACTTTTTGCAGCCAAATTTAACCCCCCCCCCCCTCTATATGTTTGTCTCTCTATTCACACAGCATAACTTTAAATAAATACAAAGATCACTTACCTTTTTAGCAGTTTCTTTGTAGCAGGTGGTTAACAGATGCCTGTGAGCTGATAAGGAACATGTTTTAAAGGTTCATTAACATGCAATGAAGAGAACTTATCAAAACTGGAGCAGACAGAATCTGAAGCAGTTGCCCATGCCAACCAATCGGCTTCTAGCTTTCATTTTTAATTCTTAACTGAACAAACTGAAGAGAGAAGCTGAGTGGTTGCCTTGGGAACTGCTCCATACTCCATCTGCTCCATAATTGACGACATAGTATGGTTATGATTGTGGTTATATTAAACACACAATGTTCTCATGTTATGAATGAACAGGAACACTCAGTATAGAGGATTTCTGTTCATTAATAACTGGGGCTGCAGAGAAAGAGAATGAGGACTTTGTGTCCTCAATCTCTTTTTCTATTTTAAAAGGGAAATATCAGGGGTCTGTTTAGACCGCTAATATTTTTCCCGAAGCCCCTAAAAGTAAAGTAAAAAATGTATCAAAAAATAAATATTAAAAAAATTGAAAAAGTTAAAATAGCATTTTCGGTTTTAGCCTGACATTTCTATTACGGTTTTGACATTTTCATTTCGTGGCACTATATATATACCGTATTTTTCGCTCCATAAGATGCACTTTTTTCCCCCCAAAAGGAGGGGGAAAATGTGCCTGCGTCTTATGGAGCGAATCCCGACGCCCCAGACATGCAGTTTCGGGCGCCGGGCGAGTAGTAGGAGCCACTGCTCGTTTAATACCAGTGATCTAATGAGATCACTCGTATTAAAGCCGAGCAGCGGCGGTGGCGATCGAGTTCAGCAGTAGGAGCTACTGCATGTTTAATACGAGTGATCTAAAGAGATCACTCGTATTAAAACCGAGCAGCGGCGACGATCGAGATCACCATAGAGCAGACGAAGAACGGATGTTCTTCGTCTGCTCTGTGTGATCACTGAGACCGTGGCGCTGTAGTCACAGCGCCACCTGTCTCAGCGGTCACTAACTGCAGCTTCTGTCACAGCTTCTGTCATAGAAGCTGTGTCAGAAGCTACAGTCTGTCGAGTGCTCCATAAGAGACACGCTGAAATACGCTCAAGTGAGAACAATGCCCATAAGAAATAATGGGATTTCACTTGCAGGGCGTTTTACAGCGCGTCGATCAGCGCTGTAAAACGCCCAGGTGTGAACCCGACCTTAATGGCTCTAAGTTTATTGCTCTCACTCTGTTTGCGGCGATATGCAACATGTGCGGCACGTAGGCACACCTGACGCATATATGCGTGTGTATGTCGGGGGCGCGGACTTAAAAAAATAAATGTTATGCTTCTTTATTTTTTTTATCAATCTTTCATTTTTGTATTACTTTTTTTTTTTTTTTTACATACAACTTTATTGCTATTACATGGGGGCTAAGAAGCCCCCTATGGGATAGCCAATTTACATGACAGGTCCTCTTTATGGAGACATCAGGGGTCTCGAAGACCCCTAATGTCACCTAGGGACCTCCAGAGAAGCTGATGAAGCAGAGATCGGCTTCATCAACTTTTCTAGCTGGAGAGTGACACTGAATGCAGGAAGTGATGTAATATACATCACTTCCTGCATTGGGGGACTGAGAGGAGATCTCCTCTCTGATCTCCTGTCACAGAGCCGGTCCTGGCCGCATCGGGCACAGCGGATCTCGGGACCAGCAACGGCAGTGACAGCTTCTGATACAAGCGATCGAGCGTCTCTAGAGACGCTCGATCTCTTGACTGTAAAGCTCCCGGCCGGCCGTGTAATTACAACGGCCGGCCGGGAAGCTGCTCGTCAGGCTCCACTGTCTGCTCGTCGCAGACGAGTGGATTTTCGAGCCCTGTATATATACACATCTATAGATGTATATAGATATATCTATATAGATATATCAATTGCAATAACAATATTAGAATGTAATTTCCTTACCTGGCGCAATAAGGGTGGTTCCAACCTCCCACATGTTCACTGGACACAACAGCCTCTTGTTTATGGTGAACTAAGGTCTCATTTATATACAGGGACTCTCACAACCACTGTATGTGAAATCTGTAACTATAGCTTCCAGTCCTGGGTAAACCATGCATTTGTGAGCAGGGTAGATCAATCCATGTGCTGAGAATGAATTTACCATTAACCCTGTAAATAAATTAACAGCAATTCTGTTGTTCTTTAGGATGCCATTGATGCAGGTACCAGCCAGGTGGCTGAGCGCTTTTTAGAACTTCTGCTTCCTGTTATACTTGATCAGCTGCTTGTGCCTGATCAAACTTTGGATGAAATACTGACTAAGAAGAAATGTGAAAGAACTGGGAAGGCATTGGATGTACTGATCAATATCCTTTTTAATATAGCAATCATGCCCATAATCATATCCTTACTCACATTTTTTATTTTCCCTCCATCCATGATTATCTACTCCCTGCCTTCTCCCTGACTTTCCTGGTACTTATTCATGTATTCCTCTTCCAATGTTTCATTGAAACTGTCCCAACTAGCTTTCATTCTGATTCCTTGATCCCCATTCTCCCTTCATCCTAGTCCATGTATAGCTGTCATTCTTCCGTCCTCAGCTCCTGCCTCTCCCTGTGGTCTATGATCACTACCCTCCCTGCCCCCTTTACCTCCTGTTTTACGACCAGTGTACACTTGGTCTTCTTTGATAATAGCAAATTTCACCAAATATTGTCTAGTGTCTTATGAATCTCTTAAAAACCATTCAGCCTAAATTAAACCATGCAATCATTGGGCACACATTTAATACTTTTATTTTTAGTTTCTCTTGTGTTCATATACTAGGTTATACCTAATTTAGATAATTTGAAGTTCAATCTGTTATACCCTGATATCCCAGCGAACCCAGGGCAGTATTATGGTATGTCTAAAACACGGCTGCACTGAAGGGCTAAATGCTGTTGTTAACTGTAATACGTGTAACTAAATTTGCAATATATTTTTTACACTGATGGGCATATGTGGATGATGCAGCACACAATAGAGAACACAAGATATTTAAAGCTGAACTCCATGCAAATAATTAAGTCCACAGATGACATATATATGAGGGAGCTGTCTTACCAGCCAAAGGATTTTCATTTCTGTCCATTTGGTCCTGATATTTGCTCAGCTCTGCCAGACAGCACAGCCAGGATGACACTAGTTTCTCTCTTGATGAATGAACAACTGACACCACCCTGCTCACAGCCTGCTAACTGAACACTTAAAGAGCACCAAGCAGACAGTTCAGCAAGTGGCCATCGCCCTGCTCACTCTGTTCTCTTTTCTTAATCAGCATATCTGTAAAAAATGTCAAGGCAACTGGACTTGCTGTATTTTTCAGAATTGAGAAAGCTGGTTGGATGACCAGTGAAACGTCTTCAAGAAAAATACAGCAAGTCCAGTTGCCTTGACTTATTTTTTACAGATATACCATGACCTGGATCAATGAGAGCCTCCACAGACATAACTTAATCAGCATGTTTCCTTTTAAGCACATTTGCATGCAGCACACCTGTTCCCTCCCTCTCTGTCTGAGTGCTGCTGCAGAGGGGATTACAAAAGGCTAATATCAAATCAACAAACTGGTTATGTTAACCAGGAAAGATTGTAGCTGTGCTAAATTCAAAATCCACTTAGTCTTCTCTCATGACTCCTTGGCATAAATGCAGTCTGTGCTGTGTAGCCTCTTTGGTCTGGACCCCAGGGGACAATGTCTGCAATACTTACCCTGCAAATTCTCAAGGCTCTGGAGAGTGTGTTCTCAGAACACTAGATTATTGGCAATATGGAGATTTTGGCAGCAGGGCGGCATGAATGTTAACAAGGAGCCCTGCAAAGATAGGCTGTGTACCTTGTATTCATTATGTATATTTTATTCATGTATTTAGTTATTCATTTCCAATTCCTGTCAATTATGTGCACCCTCCTCCCTTTTTTTTTTAAATGTTTTACTTTCTAATGGTTTCTTTTCTTAACCATTCCCACCTCTTTGTGGTGGTGGTGATGATGTATTGAAAACTCGCATTGCTAGGGCACTGGCTGTCAGCAGATGTGTTGCATTAGTAGACTATGAGTTTACATTCATTGGCGTTGATTCCAGCTTTGGTGCCAAAATGGTGGACTCCGAGGTTTTGTAAGTTTATTTTTTTATTTTTAGGAAATCTAAATGAATATTTTATAAAGATTTATAGAATTAAATATCAATATTTTTGAAAATTTCAGGGAAGACCCAGTAACCATATGACAGTTGATTTACATTTTTAAAAGATAACAATTGCCAAACCCGCCTCCTCCCCTATCTGTTCCTCCAGTGAGAGGAACCCCTGCAGGGAGCGATGACTGATCGCTCTCTGCAGGGAGAAGCCGTGAGCTGAGTGATCAGCGGTTTGTGATCACTCAGCTCTCGATCTATAGAGCCGACGTGTGACACCTGCAGTCATACGCCAGCTCAAACTATTGAGAAGAGTATATTTTACTCTCCCAATAACTCTCCTTTAATATATGTTATCCCAGAACAACATTAGCATCTGCATTTGTTCAAATTAAGTTTAAAGAGCATAGCTGGATCTCTGGTCAAGACCATAGATGAGTGAAACATTGTCACTGTTCTTATATTGTAGTACAGTAGTCTCAGGGGCAGGGCCCTCCTTACCATCTTGTCTTGAATTTTATTGTGATTGTAATGTCTTCCTTCTATTGTAAAGCACTGCACAAACTGTTGGCGCTATATAAATCCTGTATAATAATAAGAAAGCATGGCATTAGGCTGGGCATTTTTAACTGAGTATTCAATATTGAATCCAGTAGACCCAGAAATATAGACAGCTAACGTTGTTTGTAAATCTTGACTCTTCCTGTAGGATGCACTTAATCCTACCCTCTGGATCTAATGGGCCCAATTGATTTCCCTTGTTTCTACTGCATTCTTGTTCACAATTTCTATGCTAGCTGGTCCAGCTTGTTTTACACTTTTTTTTTTTTTCGTATTGTCCTAATAAAACACAAAGTACAGGAAATAAAAGACACCCTAAAAAGAGCAGAGCTCCTTCAGAGTACAGGTCTCTGCATTGCATATTTCTACAAGTATTTTTCGGAGGTTTTTTTTTTTAAAAGGAGAATTATGAGACGACTGATTTTCACTCAGCCTCATAATCTGAGCCGACCTGTGACAATGAAACTGTCACAGGTCGGCTCAGTAGATCGGGAAGTGAGGAACACATACCAGCGCTCGCTCACTTCTCGATCTATCCGTGCAGAGAGCCGTGACTGTCACGGCTCCCTGCAGGGACCCTTTCCGCTCCGATCCTCCAGTGCTGACTGGCGGAACAAACGGGGGAGGGAGCTGGGTGCAGCTGGCTCTGCCTCTAGATAGGCAGAGCCAGCTGTCACTTACGCAGCTGGGTGGATCCAGACAAAATTGTCGGGATCCGTTCCGGCTGCGGCGTCTCGGTTTACTGAGCTTTGGGTGACGGGAGGACGCTAGTTTGTGTCCTCCCATTAACCTTAGGAGAACTATGGGGAAAAGCACTGACCCCATAGTTCTCCTTTAATAGAAATTGTGAGGAAACCTTTTAGTGTGCACAAACACAATATAAACTACAAAATCTTATCTAATTGTAAAAAGATGAAACTGTAGAATTGTGTCAACTTATTTTTTAACTTGCTTACTCCAAATTTGGACAGGAATAAAGGGGGGGTTCTTCTTAACTGAGACACAAACAGCAGAAGTTCTAATCCCATGTAAGACCAAACATTTTGACTGGAGTAGGGCTCTAATTTTTCGTTTTAAATGGGGAGCATACCTTTTTGTATTCAGTATGGATATGGTTCCAATCACTGCGTGTATGCTTGCATGCCCACAGTGCTGCTCCACTGACTAATTTGTTGTTTTTTTTTTGTTTCATTCTCAAAGCAATGCTTCCACAGATGTAATTTTGAAAACTCTCAATCTTATGAGCAAGCTAAAGCAATTGGTAACGAATATGGAAGCTGCTTTCTATAAGATACTACAGGTATAATATGTTGCTATTTTGTGAGGGATTTTAAAGTATGTAGTCCAATGTTTTACTAATAACAATTAGGATTCCTTTTAAGCTGGTGCAGAATGTTGCATTATACATGCTTTTGTGGCACAGTGTATAGAGCAAACAATTGTCAGCTAACCACGGACAACCAATGTCTTTATTACACGTGTAATACACGTTAGAATTTGTTTTTATTTATTTGTTATTGCTGGAAAAATGAATGACTACAGGTAACATGTAACTGCCCTTTAGACTGAATAGCAAATGTATATTCAGTCAAAAGGGCATATCTTGTAGGATGTTACTCATCTTAAGTGTCTGATCCTTAGTTTCCAACCAGTCTGAGTGATGTTTGTCCAGTGTTATTGTAATTAAGCGCAGTACATGGGTCTGGATAACCAAAAGCCAGGTTGTAACTAGATATCTTCATTAAAAAGGGATCTGCCCTGCACATATGCTTTTTTTTGTTTTTCCTGTATTCTTATATAGTTTGCAGACTATTTCCGAGCAGGTAATCATTTTCTTTCCTTCTGCAGGACCAACGGTTGATTACACCTCTCTCTTTCGCCCTAACGTCTGACAACAGAGAGCGAGTTCAAGTTGGCCTTCAGCTACTTTTTGAAGCTGCACCATTACCGGACTTCCCTGCAGTTGTGTGAGTAAAGCATTTCCTGGCTCATGTGCTTTTGGGATACGCACACTGTAACCAGGTCTGTGAATATCACAATCATTCATACAAATGAAAATAAACCCCACCAAAATGTACCTTAAATAGTGCCTCCACATACAGCTTCCTGGTTTTACCAGGACCAGTTGCTGCATCTAAATGCAGTTGAAAACACACGTCCATATGGCATACATTTTACAGTAGAGCTGTGGTTACATATGTATGTTCTGTTTGAATGCTTTGTTGAATCATATTGTGTAGTTCGCTCCCATGGCATGAAAAAAAAAGTTGTGTATTTGCAAAACTCCTTGGTTTGCTTTATGCGTCTTATTGCATTAACCCCTTCATGACTGAGGCCCTTTTTTCAATTTTTGCACCCATAGTACTCTCCAGGACTTCTCATAAAGGAACAGAATCAGTGGATGGAGGAGGCAGCGCAGTCAGTGTAATCATTTTAAGATTAGTTTCCCATTCACATTTCTGAACCACACAGTTTAGTTGTCTTTAATTCTACGTTTTCTCTGTAACCTAAGAGCCCGTTCACATTGAGCGGTTCGCAAATCGCGCGATTTGCATTTTGCGCGATATCGTGCAAATGCTTGCATTGAGCAAGCTTGAATCGCAGCTAAATCCGCTCCAAAAAGGGTCTGGCTGTAGCGACACGCGACAGCAGGACCCTTTGCCCCATTGGAGAGCGATATCGCGCGGTAAATTGCCGCGATATCGCAGTAATTACCCCGCGATAAATCGCTCAATGTGAACGGGGTCTAAATATAAATGAATAATGGGCTTTGTACTTTTGTCTCTGGAAAATCACTTGGACACAGTGGTCCCTCCTTAAGGTCATTGTGGGTTTACTTACTGGCATGCAGTAGAAGAGGAACTTTGCAAAGGGGAAAACTGAGAGGGCTAAAGATAGAAAGTCATCTAACCTGCGCAATCTGTTGGGTGAGCAGCAATCTCAAGATTGATAATATGGTTTACTCGTTTTAGACTTGGGGAGAGCATTGCAGCTAATAATGCCTACATACAGCAAGAAAGTGATCATCCTACAAAAAGATTTGGAATGCAAGTCATTGCAAGCAACTGTAGATCATCACAGATATCAAATTTGAACAGTGTAGATATATCTTCCTCTAACATCCAGGATCTCATACAAAAGCTACAAACAGGAATGGAGGTAAAGTTAAAAAAAGATATATATTTGTTTTATTAGATATGTTTGCCTTACAGACAATATGTAATTTCACTTGTGTAAACCTTTTCAAATTTGATTTACACACAGCTGAATGGGTAATATCAGTAATCCTTCCTAAACTGCCGATTCACACCTGGGTGTACGGAATATGCGCGTTTGCCGCGCGTTTTTACCGCGATTTGCGGTAAAAGAAACACTCGACAAATGCGCGTTTCCGATGGCTATCCAGCTGTATCCTAATGGATACGCGCGGCAAATACGCCCCAAAGAAGCTCCTATACTTCTTTGGGCGTAGGGCGTTTTTCAGCGCGTTTGCACGCGCTGTAAAACGCCCAGGTGGGAACCATGCCCATAGGCAATCATTGGTTTTCACATGTTGAGCGTTTTACAGCGCGTAGGAACGCGCTGTAAAACGCACATGTGTGAACCAGGCCTTAGATGGCATTCTGGCATTTTAATCCGACAGAAGCAAATACAGCTGTGCCCTTTCTTTACGGAACCCAATATGCTCTGTGAATCCTGAGTGATGTGTGTGAATAGTGAGTAAATCGGTTTCTTGCTGACCCACAAACATCTTCATTTCCTGAATCTGGATTTGTGTGGTCCATTGTAATTAAAGCTGAACTGAATTTGGATCAGTCTTGATTTCACTATTTCATCTCTTATTACCAATGCTGGTTAACAACCTTTTTCATTTGATTTGCTAGATGAAGGAACGAGTTAATGATGTGAGGATTTCTGATATCATGGATGTTTATGAACAAAAGCTTTCGGCATTAGCAGTAAGTATTACTCTTATTCACTTGTTTTTCAGAAAAATATATGGCAGTGATTATATTAATTTTGTGTTCTTTCTGTGCAGTCTAAGGAAAGCAGGCTGCAGGACTTATTGGAAGCAAAGGCACTAGCCCTTGCACAAGCAGACAGACTGATTGCACAGTACCGGTGTCAAAGAGCACAAGCTGAAGCAGAGGTGAGAGGAAAATTGTACAGAGCTGTTTGTCAGCTCAGATGGATTTGACAACTGAGTATACGACCTAAGTTGATGAGAGTTCCTATTCTGAAATTTCCCTTCATCTTACCCAGGAATTATTATACTGAAGCATTATATTTAGCAGTACTCCATTTTAGCTGGTTGTGTCAGAACATACCACATATTATATTTTATTTATTTTATATAGATATCACTCACAGCAGCGCTCAGGCATGATGGCATTCCACCAGGCCAATCATATGAATAGTTGAGCATATTCCATCATAAAGTTCACATTTCATTAGCTTGCGTTTTGATGTGTTTCTATTGATTTTTAATGGGAAAACCCATCAATAAAAACAGATGGGTGTAAAAAATGCCCCTGGGTTGGGGGCTTGGCTCTGCAAATTAAGTGATTAACATAGGGTGGCAAGTCTACCCTTTTTAATGTATTCCTGAAATAAAATCAAAACCGGTTATTCAGCCTCCACAACTATCCTTAAGGTAGTTTTATCATAACATTATTGCATGTATCCATTTTACTTGCCATGGACAGCTAGTAGTACTTCCGAAAATGTAATTGTACATTTTATTTCAAAACTGCAGGCAAGAAAGCTTGCTACACTGCTGAAGGAGGCAGAGAGGAAGAACGAGGAGCTGAGCTTACTCTTAAAGTCTCAGCAGTTGGAGTCAGAACGTGCCAAGAGTGACATTGAGCAGTTATTCCAGCACAGCAAGAAGTTGCAAGCAGTGGCCGAAGAGCATGAAACACTGAAAGTCTCCTATGCTGATCATATAATGAAGTAAGATTCTTTTTTTGTTTATCTAAAATCAATGAAGATGAAAATATTTTCAGTTTTTTATCCTTTTTGCTCCTCTTGAAAATGCCCTTTTTCACAATTTAGTCACATGGTTGAAAACAGTGCCTTAGGGTGTTGTTAAAGCTTTGTGAATTGAACTTATTGTCACTTCATGCATCACATTCATTTTAGTTTTATTTCTGCATATTCTGAGTTGAGGTCTGGTCTGTGCCAAACCGGAAAAAAAAAATAGTACAATTCTGTCGGAGCAATAGGAATTAATAACTTTCTCAGTTCTGTTTCTAAGACTGGGGAATATTTGACAACAAATGTCAATAAGTTATCAGCGTAATTACTTCTATAGAGCTTACATTTTTCAACAATTCTTCACATAGAATATTGTCATTTCATATTAGACCCTTCCGCTATAATGCATATAGTTGTGTCTACCATGTGTGGACATGTGTTAGGATAAAGTCAGTAAATTAGCAGTGTGGTCTTGTGCCATGGAAGGAGTACACAAACTCCCAAGTATGATTCTGGTAGCAGTTCTAGCCACTGCTTCACCATCAGATAGAAAGTGAATAGTTCTGGTGTTTTCTTATTGTATTGTTTCCATTGTAGTATCTCCTTTCTGTGGCTCTCTAAATTCCAGCAGAGGTATATTATATGTAGATTGTGATCACTTATTTTCTTTATAGGTATGAACTCTGTGAAATGCAGTTTAAAGACTTACAGGTATCATACAACACCTTAAATAAGCAAGCTGAAACCATGAAAAAACTAAATGATTCCCTCAAGATTCAAAATGAAAAGTAAGGATTATTTTGAGTTTATTTTTTATTTTTCAGGGACATTGTAAATATGAGATTACTTTCACTACTCATGATGATGCCATGTGTAAGGGTTTTTACCAATGGTGCTGCCCAGTTGCCTTCAGGGGAAATTATCTATAGGACCGGCTATAAAACCTGTCCTGATAGCTGTTTTCCTTGAGATGAGAGCTGCGTCTGCCTGCTCATCTTCTTCCCTGTCTGTTGCACTTAACTTGCAGGTCAACAGAGCCAACGGCTTTCAGCTGTCTTCCTGAGGGCAGTTTGATTATATGTGCATATTGGATTGTACTATAACAACGATGGAAAGACTTAATGCTAAACAAATGCTGAGTTTTTGCAGCAGATATTCACTCATACTTTGGCAGCAACTGTGATTTATTTTTTTTCTTTATTTTTTTTACAAACCATTTCCTGTGGTTAGCTGGCAATGTACAGTGTGTGTGTATGTTAGAAAACATTGAGTTCTGAAAACTGTGGTTTTGGTTGTGAGCATAACTTTAATTTAAACGTTTCCTTTTTATGGTGCATACTAATTGCTATCTGTACATGCTGGGATCCTAAACTTGGCACTTCTGTGTTACTATGCTCAGCATGCTATAGCTGTGCAGGTTGTACAGGACAGAAAATCACTGCTTTGACATTGTCTTGACGTAGCTTCTTCTGTTGCTGACATTCAGTATGGTTTGGGTGGTAGTGGATGTGGTTTGAGTGGTAGTGGATGGGCATAGTCACAGTTTTCTATGATGTCTTGGAAATTCTATTTCCTGCTCTACTATTGTAATACAATTAAGTGATCATTTGCAATCATCTTTTAAAATATCCAACATTTCTCAGTCTTGGCTGTCATTTTTAGAGGATGAGGTTTCCTTCTTCATAAAGAAATATAGTCTACAATTTTCTGTTTTTGTATTGCTGCTGTAAACCTTTTCTGAAAGTACTAACATACTGTTTACATACAGGACAGTGGCCCAGCTAGAAGACACCGAAAACCAGAGAAAAGACTTGGCTAAGCAACTGCAAGACCGAGACAGTAAAATTCTAAGTAGGTGGTGTCCTCCTTGTGGATGTGTGTTCAGTTTGTTTTAGAATAGATAACCTTCAACCTCAACCATTATTTTAATTCATAAACTTCAGATGGTTATGGTTTTTCCACGTATAATTTTGCCAACAGATTTCCAACAAAAGGTAAAGGGGCTAGAGGAGAAGGTTAAGTTAAAGCAAAAGGAGAAAGAAGATATGGAAGAAACCATTGACATACTTCGTAAAGAGCTGAGTAAAACTGAACAAGCAAGGAAGGAACTGAGTATTAAGGTTTGTATTTATTTTTTTAAGATAACAATTAGACTCCTGTTATCTATATAAGGTGCATTGTTAAGCGCTAATTGAAAAAAAATATTTAGCTTTTTAAGAGTTTTTTGTTTTGCTTTACCCAAACTTTGTGTGCCCACCTTGAATCACTGTTCATTTCATTGATGAACAATTTTAGTTTTAGTCTTGGTCGTTTTACTAAAATGCCATTTTAGTTTTTAGTCGTATTTCTAGTCATCTGAATTTGTTTTAGTTTTGTCGACTAAATCTCCAGTAGAGACATTTGCAATGTATTTGCATCATAGTTTTAGTCCCATTAACTTAGTTTATAGGACTGAAAACATGCAAACAATTACAAAAAAACTAATCTAAATTAACATTGCCTTGAAACTGTTAGTAGGTTAAAGGACCTGTGCTTTAACCATGAAGGGCAAAACATCAAGTTTATAGCCCTTGTTCCCAGTAGGGATCAATTCACATTTCCTTCACTTCTTGCTGCTCCATTCAAAAACAGGGAGCAAGGAAAGACAGCCCAACAATAGGCTCTAGTTAGATCTTCATTTGGAAGTGAAACAGGCATGACTGTCTTCTGTCCCTCTGTGACAGAGCTGGGTCACTCATGAAGCATCAGCACCATCACAAGCACCTCCATAGCCAAAAGTGCAGGTATTTTCTTTGAATGTGGCGACTGTACGGGATTATGGGATAGCATAGGAAAGGTAAAGCTAACCATACACCTATAGATTATCTGCAGATTTTCTATGGCCAGATGAAAAAAGTGCAACAGATTCCTCCATCTACGCTAAACTGTGTGGATGGAGGAATCTCCCACTGGGCCAAGCTTCAGTATCTTGCTAGTCGGCCCCGCTGGCTCTCACAATACCTGAACAATGCCTGCATCCAATCAGATTGGATGCAGGCAACGGTTATTAAAATGTCCTTTTTGTAATATGTCACTCAGTTGTACTCGGGGGGAAAAGAATTAAGCTTGCAAAGAGTTTGCTTTTCAGCCCATTAAATTAAACTGTACCTATGGCCTTTCAAATTTCATAACTTGGCCTAAAGATGGTAAAGCATTTAGCCTGCACACATACTAAAGTTGGCCATACACTCTACGAATTCTGGGCAGTTCTTGATAAGCTGGCTGAAATTCGTTCAGTGGGGGGCCTTGTCACAACCCTTCCATCCAGCATCCTTGGATCAGAAATTTAACCCCTTCATGACTGAGGCCCTTTTTTCAATTTTTGCACTCATGTTATATAATGGAACATGTTCAGTTTTCATGCACATATTTGATTGGCATAGTGGAATTGAGTCATCTGTAATTAGTCAGGATGAAACTGACTGCATGTCTGAGCTGTAGGTATTTTAAAACAGTATGTGAACGGAGCTTGAATTTAGTTTGCAACACAGAAAAGGATTTGAGAATCCTAACATGATATCTGAAACCATTTTGCAGAAGCCAAACGGTGGTGTGCAGGCAGACTGTGTTCCTCCTTTTGCTTTTTATGCCACCACAGGGTTTCTGCAGGCGGTCGCGTATAGGCTTGGCTTTGGGAATTTCTGGGTCTTCAGGGGCTTGTTGTGACTCGCATATTGTTTGCTTAGCTGCACGATAGAAGGATCTGTGAAATGTTGGATAAAAGTGAAAGAACATTTTCCCCGTGGTGTTTTCTACCATGGTTGTAAAATGAAGTGACATATTCTTTAGCTTTTTCCTGTAAGTATTGGAATTGTTAGTAGTATGTCTCATGTGACTATAATTTTGCATTTTTTGGTCCCCTTATTTGGAATACCATGTCTGTTTTCCCTGGCACTGACATCTCCTTCCCTAAGACTGATGGCACTCTGTGGGGTCCTTCCCATAGCACTGACAATGCTCTCCAGGGCCCTTGTCCTGGGATTGACAGTGCTCTATGGGACCCGTGTCCTGGGACTGACAGCGCTCTGTGGAGCGCCCTTCCCCTGGAACTGATGGCACTCTGTGGGGCTGTTTACCTCTGGCATGTGTAGTGTGGAACAGCTTTTTATAGGGTGCTGAAGAGTGCCTCAAGTCTTTTCAGAAACATCTGATGTGTGATGACTGTAATTCAAATTTAATTCAAACATGTTTGTGTACTTTACAGGCATCTTCACTAGAAGTTCACAAAACACAGTTGGAAGCACGTCTTGAGGAAAAGGAGGCAATTCTGAAAGGCCAACAGGAAGAGCTGAGCAAGCATTCACACATGATTGCTATGATACACAGCCTTAGCAGTGGCAAACTTGGTGCAGGCAATGTGAACCTCAGCTTGTAGGACTTATTTCCGCTAAGCAGCATCTCCAAATGAACTTTTTTGTACAGTAAGCTTAGGGTTCAGCTAGTGATACCCTAAGTGTAGAATGAACACAACTGGTTTTAAGCTGCTGAAATACTAATATACAAAACATATTTTAAATAATTTTAAGAGGTGATGTAGCTTTTAATCCCTAGTATGACCAGAATATATCCATTCCAGTAACTGGCAGAATGTTTTCATTTGACTATACTCTGCTACACTAGTGTAATGTGTAATGTCAGAATAAATGCCAAGCAAACGGGGATTGCAGTTTCCCTCTTTATATAGGTCCTGAAAGCACTTTCATCAAGTTCAGGAATTAAATTTTATACATATTTATTTTATTTGTGTATATGTATACAGTATGTCTTGGAGGTGTCAGTGGCAGCAGTATGACTGTTTATGTGAGTTTTAGCATATCTTTACAATTTGGGCCAGTGGGCTGAATGGGCCACTTGTTTAAAATTTCTCTCTGGGAGTCCCCATGTGCATTCCCCACCGGCTATATTCTCCATGAATAAATGAAAAACCCAATTAGAATCAGTTCCTCCTAGCAGCAGTGAAAGAGAGGTGCAAAGTTCTTATATCCAAACCAAATCTTCCATAAAGAAACAAGCCAAAGGTAATGGCAAAACACATAATCATTTCATGAAATACAGACACATGGTCCATAATATTATGCATCTGCACAGTGGGGCAGGCTGTACTTTTACAGGCTTATACTTTTGCAACCCTATTGCCACTGGAAAAAAAACCCATAAATGCAAGTAGTAGAAGCCTTATTCTTACCAGTGAGGGGTGATTCAAATCTTTGCTCTCAGAAAATGCTCTGGATGGTGCTGCTTTCTGACACTTCCAGATGTGTCGAAAAAGGTGTTCTCTGCTGGAAGTGGTGGTTCTTCCCAACGACCGTACATCACTACAGGAAACAGCGGCGGCAGAGTAGTTTTAAAGCATACTGGCTCCAACAGCCCTAACTGCTGTCCACATTTGAAATAATAAACTCTGTATATGTCCAGATTGAAGCTGTTGAAGTTATATATTTAACATAACTTTTTCATACATGTTTCAAAATATGTTCTTAAAAATGAACTAGAGAGGTGATTTCATTTTCTTTTTTCTCTTTGGAAATATTAAAATACCAGATATTTGTAAACAGCATGGCTTCGTTGTTATTACATTGGATGGTACAAGATATTACTTTAGTATGAGACAAGATTTTGTAATCAACTGTTTAACAACATGTATTTATTAAGAGCCACCGAAGAACACCACACCCCTGAACTATTGACTCAAACAACTAAAAATCAAAATATGGAGCTATTAAGGTGTCAAATCAGGGATGCAAAGGACCACATGTACAAAATATTTAAAACATCATAGATTTATTAGAAAAATAATAGGATACAAAAAATACTGAAACACAAAAGTTCCCAGAACATCTAGGATATGTATCCCTATAGAACAAAGTTTGCGTATAACATGGCATATTACCTCTATGGACCACATCAGTACAGTACATTCATATAGAATTCAATATATTCTTTGAGCTTCAATATCCTGATAACAAATAACTGCGTATATTCTAACATCTTATTTTGTGTCCTTTGGTCATTCACTGATGTGTGGTGGGTTCAGTCTTCTAAACAAATAACTGCATTTATTCTAACATCGTACGGGTCCAGAAAACTGGACCCATCGCACATCAGTGCATGACCAAAGGGCACAAAATTTGATGTTAGAATATACGCATTTATTTGTTATAAGAATATTGAAGCTCAAAGAATATATTGAATTCTGTATGAATGTACTGTACTGATGTAGTCCAGGGATTATGCCATGTTCTAAGCGAACGTTGCTCTACAGGGAGCTGCCATAAATATCCAAGCTGTTCTGGGAACTTTTATGTGTTTTTTAGTATTATTTATCCTATTATTTTTCTAATAAATGTATGATGTGTTAAATATATAGCATTTGTGGTTCTTGCATCTGTGATTTGACACCTTAAAAGCCCCATGTTTTGATTTCTTGTTGTTTGAGAAGATTTTGTAATTAAGTTGAAATCAAGATTTTGTATTTAGAATTGTTAAAGGAGAACTGTTCGCGTTATACTAAGACGCCGCAGCTGAAGCGGATCCCAACAATTATGTCTGGATCTGCCCGCTGCGTGACTGACAGCTGGCTCTGCCTATCTAGGTTTTGGAAGTCCCAACAGTCTAAAGGTGCCCATACACCTTACGACCATCGCAAGACTTTTGTCTTGCGATGGTCGTATGCTTCTTGAAAGCCTGTACGATCTGCCCACCTTGGACGGGCAAATCGTACTTGCGATCATCGAAAGCCCGCCCCGCTGAGGGGCGGGCTTCCGATGACGGCAATGCAGAACGGGCAGTGTGCACATGCGCACACCGGCCCGTTCCGCAGCTATCGGGCGAGCAGGCTAGAAACCCGCCGAGAATCGTACGATTCTCGGCAGGTTTTCGAGCATGTTGGCTCGACAAAAGACGTGCGACCGTACAGTCGAAACGGTCGCACGTCTTAGTTCACACTGCTCGATTCTCCGACGATCGCGGGATTTCGCCCGATTCTCGTACGAGAATCGAGCAGTGTATGGGCACCTTAAGGCTGGCCATTTACCTATAGATATCTACAGATTTTCTATGGTCAGATGGAAAAAGTGCAACAGGTTCCTTTATCTACACTAAACTGTGTGGATGGAGGAATCTCCCACTGGGCCAAGCTTCAGTATCTTGCTAGTCTGTCAGAATAGCTGAACAATCTGATTGGATGCAGGCATTGTTCAGGTATTTTGAGAGCCAGGGGGGCCGACTAGCAAGATACTGAAGCTTGGCCCAGTGGGAGATTCCTCCATCCACACAGTTTAGTGTAGATAAAGGAACCTGTTGCACTTTTTCCATCTGACCATAGAAAATCTGCAGATAATATATCGGTCTGTGGCCAGCTGAAGAATGCCTTTGTCCCTCAATAGACCAGAAGGAAAATAGAAAAAAAAGCTAACCAGTACATGGGGTACTAATTTGATACAAAACCGAGTCATGATGGTTGTGGGTGGGGTTGTCCTGTACTGGCTAGCTTTTTTTTGTTTCCAGGGTCAACTTGTCCTGTATGCCGCAGTATAACCGGACCTTCTAAGAATTACTGTGTTCCTCAGAGGGCTCAAAGAAAAGGGTTGTACAAGAAGTACAAAAATCCTATTTTTTTTCACCACCCGACCAGACACTTGTTTGGCAATGGCCATACCATGAACATCATCATAAATGCCCCGTAAAACATGGTAGTGGCATAATAAAGCCATGGGAATGTTTCTAAGCAGCAGGCACTTGAAAGCTTTTGAGTCTAAATGTTAGAATGATTGTTGCAAAATACAGGGAAATCCTGGAAGAAAACCTGCTAAAGTCTGAAAGAAACTGAAGCCTAGGGAGAAGATTTGTCTTAGCGAGACAATGTTTTATAAAAGCAGAATAGCTTAAAAAAAATAATGTCCTGGAATTGCCAAGACCAGAGCTTACATCTCAAGCCAATCCAGAATTGTGCATGGATATTAAAAAGGCTGTTGGCTTACAATCCTCATAGAGCCTGACAGAGCTAGAGCAGCTTTAAAGAAAGGGGAAAATTTGCAGTGACCAGATATGCAAACGTGATAGAGAACTATCCACACAGGCTGCAGACTATAATTGCTGCCAAAAGTGCATCCACTAATGGCCGGCAGTTATTTAAGTTTTCTTATTGTAACTACTATAAATCAATTTGTAGTCATCTTTTTCACTTTCACATGAGGGTCTATGGCTGTTGATCAATGTAAACAAATCCACAGTGATTCAGTGTTCTATGATAAGAACATACGAAAACGTCCAAGGGGGTGATTATGTTTTATACGCGCGGTTATTTTTAAGCTGTGATTCTGAATCTTTCCACTGCACAATCCCACCTAGAGACACCCTAAAAGTCTTGTTCAGTGTGGCCACAGGAGATCAAGACCAAATACACAAAGCTAAAAATAAAAGGAAACCAGTACTGAGAGTATACAGTATGTAGGTTGCCATTGCTGGACTCGCTTTTAAGAAAATACCAATGCTTACCTGTCATAGTGATCCAATGGCAAGTATGGAGATTACAGGTTCTGCCATCACTTTAGCTTTCTAATCTGTTTGCTTGTTCCAGGTCAGTGATTAACAAAGCACTGGAAACAGAGACTGCCAGGTAGCTGGCATTTTTAGGAGGTTGGAAATGTCAGTATTTTTTCCTCCAATTTTTAAGCTAAATTGACTTTAATGTAGTTGCAATGGGGCTGAATAGCATTATCCGCTAGCTGAATTATTTTGTGTGGAGTTGCTCTTTATACCATATAGAGAAGTATTACTGTGATCTTGTTTTAATATAAGGCACTCTTGCCAAGCTCCTATCAAATCACAGACTGTTCCATTGAACTCCGCAGTTTAAGGGCACTTGCAAAGTTATTCTAACTATCTTAATAATGTGGCTTCATCCTAGATAAAGCTGTCATCAGCTCTTTAAAAAAAAAAAATCGGTCTGTGGATGGAGGGGCATATTTCTAAACACAAAACCTATGTATGTTGAATGTTAGGAAGGGAACATTTTTTTCTAATGGAGTATCTATGGATTTGAAAGCATATATAGGGCTAATTTACATTTTTTTCATTGGATTTTTTTAATGCATAATGTGCTTTGAATTAAGCCTGGCCATTCATTTTGGGAGGCCTCTCAGCACAACAAGTATAAAATGCACCTGGTACTGCGTGCGGCAGCTTGTTGAAATGAATGGGTTGAAGCACAGCAAAGATGCACATAACACAACACGCTTTGAGGCCTTGTTCACATCAAGCGCGTTCCAGGAGCAGAGCAGTTACAGACCGTCAAAACTGCGTCCAATGTATTCCAATAGTATTTTGGGCTCTAGTTCACACCGCAGCATTCAGTTCCAGAGCATGTAAAAAAAAACTGCAGCAAGTCCTATTTTACCTGCTCTGGAACGCATGCAAACGCCCTGGAACGCACTAAAAGCCCATTCTAAACTTATTTACGAAAA